GCTCCCCCCCCCCCCCCCGTCGGGGCGCGCGCCGCCGACCCCTCCTCCTCCGAGTCTCCTCCTCCTCCTACGCCTCCTCCTCCTCCATCCTCCGCCTCCTCCTCCTCCTCCTCCTCCTCCTCCTCCTCCTCCTCCTCCTCCTCCTCCTCCTCCTCCGCGTCCTCCTCCTCCTCCTCCTCCTCCTCCTCCTCCTCCTCCCTCCTCCTCCATCCTCCTCCTCCTCCTCCTCCTCCTCCTCCTCCTCCTCCTCCTCCTCCTCCTCCTACCTCCTCCTCCTCCTCCTCCTCCTCCTCCTCCTCCGCCTCCCCCCCCCCTCCCGCCTCCTCCGCTCCTCCTCCTCCTCCTCCTCCTCCTCATCCTCCGCTTCCTCCTCCTCCTCCGCCTCCTCCTCCGCCTCCTCCTCCTCCTCCTCCTTCCTCCTCCTCCTCCTCTTCCTCCTCCTCCTCTTCCTCGAGGCGCCGCGGAAGCCACCTGCCAGTGTGCCACGATGTGCTCGGGCGGCTCGAGCTTAGGATCCAGATCAGTTCGGCAAGGACTCGGATGCAAAGGAGGACTCGATCCAGAGAGTGCTACAGAGCACACTATCGCGGCATGGCACATCGCAGTCCAGCACGGCGCAGCACAGCACAGCCCTTGGCACGGCTCATCACGATCGATACGCTCAGCATTGCCATTGCCCGTCGCGCAGTCAAGTGCCTTGAAAACGCTGCCACGCCTCACATTTCTATCTTCCTGTCCGGGTTCGTGGGTCGATCATGTGTTCCCGGAACGGGCGGAGGCCCAGGGTTCTCCTGAGTTTGTACACTGTGCCCCAGTACCACGTTCGAAGAGCACCGGCGAATTTTCGTTCGAAAACGAGCGAGATCAAGTCCCATTCGGCGTGGGAAAAATACGTGTCGCGCTTGCCCGCTCCAGGAACATGTGCCCCCCATCTCGGATCCTCGTTGCCTGACGGGGTCCGCAGACCCCCGCTTTCCCTAGTCAAAAACAGGGTGCGGAGCGTTTTGCGCAGAATCCCAACTGAATAACGAGGTTCGGAGACCCTAAAAATTAGACAATGGGGATTCCCCGCTGCAATGTCCCGGCGGAGAGCCGCGTCCTCGTCCTCCTCTTCCTCCTCCTCATCCTCGCCCTCCTCCTCCTCCTCCTCCTCCTCCTCCTTCTCGTCCTCCGAGTCTCCTCCTCCTCCTCCTCCTCCTCCTCCTCCTCCTCCTCCTCCCCCTCCTCCTCCTCCCCCTCCTCCTCCTCCTCCCCCTCGTCCTCCTCATCGGCCTCCCCCTCCTCCTTCGCAACTTCCTGGCCCTCCATATTCCTATCCAGCCATCGGGCCCCCTCCTCCATCGGCGCCTGCTCCTACAACCCCCTGGAACACGCCGCATCCCCCTCCTCATCGTCGTCGTCCTCCTCCTGGCCATCCTGCCCATCCTCCTCTTCCCGCTCTCTCTCCTCCTCCTCTTCCTCTCCCTCTTCCTCTCCCTCCTCCTCCTCCTCCTCCTCCTCCTCATCCTCGTGATCCTCCCTCCTCCCTTCTTCCTCCCTCCTCCCCTCCCTGCCTCCTCCCTCCCTCCCCTCCTCCTCCTCCCTCCCTCCACCCCTCCCTGCTTCCCCTCTCCCTCCCTCCCTCCTCCCTCCCTCCTCCCTCCCATCTCCATCCCACCCTCCTTCCTCCTCAGATCCTCTGCAGGAGGGCCGCAGGTGAGCGGACACCGAAAACAGAATGTGCACACGAGTGCGAGGTGACCCAGGATGTGTGTGTGTGTGTGTACCCCAGGTGAAGTGTGTCGCCCGGTTGCAATTACGGTTGCGCGCGAGGGCGGGTTAAAATATGTCGCCCGGTTGCGGTTGCGGTTGCGCGGGCGGGTTGAATTGTGCCGCCCGGATGCGGCTGCGCGGCCGGGTTGAAATGTGTCGCCTGGTTGCGGTTGCGGTTGAGCGGGAAGTTGAACTGTGTCGCCTGGTTGAAGTTGCGGTAGCCGTGCGCGGGCGGGTTGAATTATATGCCGCCTGGTTGCGGTTGCGGGTGCGCGCGCGGGCAGGCAAAAATGTGTCGCCCAGTTGCGGTTGCGGTTGTGGTTGCGCGCGCGGGCGGGTTGAATTATGTCGCCTGGTTGCGGTTGCGGTTGCGCGCGCGGGCGGGTTGTCATGTGTCGCCCCGTTGCGGTTGCGGTTGCGCGGGCGGAGTGACATGTGTCGCCCGGTTGGGGTTGCGGTTGCACGCGCGGGCGGGTTGAAATGTGTCGCCCGGTTGCGGTTGCGGTTGCGGTTGCGCGCGCGGGTTGAAATGTGTCGCCCAGTTGCGGTGGCGGTTGCGCGCGCGGTGGGTTTAAATGTGGTCGTGCAGTTGCGTTGTGCGGTTGCCGCGCCGCGGGCGGTTTGAATGTGTCGCCCGGTTGCGGTTGCGCGCGCGGCGGGTTGAAATGTGTCGCCCGGTTGCGGTTGTGGTCGCGCGCGCGCGGGTTGAAATGTGTCGCCCGGTTGCGGTTGCGGTTGCGCGGGCGGGATGTGTCGCCCAGTTGCGGTTGCGGCTGCGGTCGCGCGGGCGGGTTGAAATGTGTCGCCCAGTTGCGGTTGCGGTTGCGCGCGCGGGCGGGTTGACATGTGTCGCCCAGTTGCGGTTGCGGTTGCGCGCGCGGGCGGGTTGAAATGTGTCGCCCATATTGCGGTTGCGGTTGCGTTTGCGCGATCGGGTTGAAATGAATCGCCGGGTTGCCGTTGCGATTGCGCGCGCGGGCAGGTTGAAATGTGTCGCCCAGTTGCGGTTGCGGTTGCACGCGGGGGGTGATATTTGTCGCCCGGTTACGGTTGCGAATGCGGTTGCGCGGGCGGGTTGACATGTGTCGCCCGGTTGCGGTTGCGGTTGCGCGCTCGGGCGGGTTGACATGTGTCGCCCAGTTGCGTTTGCGGTTGCGCGCGCGGGCAGGTAAAAATGTGTCGCCCAAAGGTTGCGGTTTCGGCTGCGCAGACGGATTGAAATGTGTCGCCCGGTTGCGGTTGCGGTTGCGCGATCGGGCGGGTTGAATTGTGTCGCCCGGTTGCGGTTGCGGTTGCGCGGGCAGGTTGAAATGTATCGCCCGGTTGCGGTTGCGGTTGCGCGCGCGGGCGGGTTGAAATGTGTCGCCCGGTTGCGGTTGCGGTGGCGCGTGCTGGCCGGTTCAAATGTCGCCTGGTTGCGGTTGGGCGTTCCTGTGCGGGTTGAAAGTGTTGTCATGAGTGCTCTCCTGATGTCCAATCGGTCAGTCAGTCATTCAATCAGTCAGTCACACCGGCAGGCACGGAATTTCACCTGACTCCGCCGGGAAAGAAATATGGGAAAGTGAAATGTTTGCTTACCCGCTCGTAGATGGCGCGTCCTGCGCGCAGGAATTTCGAGGATGTCTCGAGCCCTGCGCATGCTTTGCAGAAGGAATGTTGGCTTTGTGTGTGTGCCCGCTCGAGGATGGCGCGCCCTGCGTGCCGAATCTTCGAGGATGTCTTAAGCGAAACGCTTGTTTTGCAGCGCTTGAAAGGCCTGGGCGCCCCAGGATGCTCAAGTAGTTCGGGGAGTGCAATCGGACCGGCATTTTAGAGGCCTCCTACGTAGATGGGGTCCGAGTAGACGGGGTCGGAGGATCGCGCCGCATCGCCGATACACCGGCGATGCTGGCGATTCATCGGCGAGGCCAGCGCGAAGAAAATCGGGCTCCGCATCGAGCCGCATCGACGATGCATCGGCGATGAGGCGCGATCCTCCGACCCCATCTGCTCGGACCCCATCTATGGGGGCTTGAATATTCACGACGGGTTGCGGCCTTGGGTGCGCGGACGCAGCATAATTTCCCAGGGATCGTGGCCCCGAGAGCGCGAAGCCAGCGCAACTCACTGGGGATCGCACGTCCGCTGGCACGTTCCGTGGCGCGGTGCCCCTGGCACGTGCTGTGGCGCGTCCCGCGGCGCGTCCCCCTGGCAAGTGGCGCGGCGAGTCCCCTGGCCCCCCCTCTGGCACGTCCACTGGCGCGGCCACTGGCATGTCACCGTGCGGCGCGGCGCAGCACAGAGAAGCACAACACAGCCCCTGGCACAGCAGCATCACCATCGGTTTCTTCAGCACTGCCACTGCCCATCGCCCAACTGAGGTGCTTGGAAGCATGCCCAGGCCTCGCAGTTCGCAATCCCTTTTGGGTTCGTGGGTCAATCATGTCTGGGATGAGTGTGGAAACAGGCACATGGCGCGAAAATGTTCAATGCAGTCTTGTATGTATGTGTATGTCCACATACTTACAAATACCATTTCTTTACATCCATCTACCCCCCCCGTTCCACCCGTCCTCCGTCCATATCTGTGGCGGCGGAAAGTCCTGCCCGCGCGTTGCCACCTGCCACCATGTTTCTACCTCTTTCGCCTCCTCCTCCTCCTCCTCCTCCTCCTCCTCCTGCTCCTCCACCTCGTGGTCGTCGTCCTCCTCCTCCTTCGCCTCCTCCTTCGCCTCCTCCTCCTCCTCCTCCTCCTCCTCCTCCTCCTCCTCCTCCTCCTCTTGCTGTTCCGCCTCCTCGACCCATTCCCATCTACACCTTCTCTTTCCCCCCGCTGTCCGAATTCCTCGTCCTACTCCTCCTTCTCCTCCTCCTCCTCCTCCTCCTCTCCATGGTTCTTCCTCCTCCTCCACCTCCTCTTCCTCTGATGGTGATGATGATGATGAGGATGATAATGATGATGATGATGATGATGATGATGATGATGATGATGATGATGATGATGATGATGATGATGATCATGATGATGATGATGATGATGATGATGATGATGATGATGATGATGATGATGATGGTGACGATGACGACGACAGCACGACGGTGACTACGATCGACGCGACGTCCCCTTCTTATCATTATTAATTTTCTGATTCGTATTCTTATTATTCGTCTTACCTGTCTTGTTCATAATTGTTTTCTTCTTATTCGTAATATTATTCTTCCTGATACAACTATTTTATATGTTTTGTTTCCCTTCTTCTTCCCTCGCGGTCCAACAAGCTTTGGGCGATCTTCTTGGCCTTCGCCCAGTCCGTCTGCTGGCCCTCCATGGCGGAGTACAGCGCGCCGCTCGGCTTCGTGTTCCCAGAACTGGACTCGAGCCTCTGGGCCGGGGGCTGCCCAGGCAGGGAGGCCAGGAATATTTCTTAGCAGTAGACCCACCGAAATCAGAATTAACCAGGAAGATGTTCTACAGCCGTGACAACCACACACAAGAACATCCTTCAAGAACATGATGCTCTCCGCCGGCCAAAACACACACAGAGAGAGAAAAGTCGAGGGCACCCTCCCCAAACATGCACAAGAACATCCAACAAACACGAACAACACGACGGTACCGATACCGCTACTCCCGGGACCTTTCCCGGGGTGCGTTCTGACTAAGATTTCGAAGCGAATCCAGCGATGGCGACGTGGGTTCCCCAGGAGACCCAACGAGGAGGAAACGGGCGAAGAGTAGCAGCATTTGGCCTGGTACCTCTCAAATCAAAAATATTCTTATTAATTGGCAAAGGCTTACGGTGTTCATGATGTTCCTCGTGACAGGTCCCAAGTTGTACATCGGAAGAGGGGAGTTCGATATAGCGAATGTTTTCTGGTAGGCGAATCTACAAGGGTACTGTATACGTGTTTGAGCGCCCGACCCGAGGAGAGGGGAGGGCGCGCGTGCGCTGTTTTGGTCACTCGCAGAAACAACTGCAAATAAAACACCATGCATGTCTATAACGCAACAGGCGCCGCCAACCGTCCGTTGGAGGGGATAAGCGGCGCAGCCAAGGAGGGCGAGGAGAGCGTTAGTCATGCCCCCCCCCGCGGCCGCACAAGCGCGGGGACTCCGCGCACAGACGAACGTCAGCACATTGGCTAACGCTCAGCGCCCTGGGCAGGCTGGGCGAATTCACCTGTTTCGGGAGGTTCCGTGGATGACGGACTTCACCCCGTCCCCAGGCACATCGGACCGCGCGGCGCCGACCGCAAGCAAGCGTTTTGCGCCGACCGTGGAAGGGGTGGACTTACTCCCGACATTGGGACCAGCCAGAGCCGGTTGTTCACATCCCCCCCCCCCAGCTGTGGCACGCCTTCGCGCCGCGCCAGCCCTCCAGAGCGCACGTCGCACAGTGACGAGACGTCCTCCCTCAGTGCCAGGGCGCTCGTGACGCACTGACGGGTCGCCCCCTCAGCGCCGTGCGCCGCGCCAGCGGTCGTCCGAGCCTCCGCGGTTGCCCCAGCCCCGCCAGCTCCACCAGCTGCCGGGGCCCCCCCCCGAGTCGCTCCACGGCGTCCCCTACGCGCCCTCCTCCCGGCCCTGGCGGGGCGGGTGGCAGCGCAGTTGCTCCTTCTTTTTCACCCCTTCGGTGGCTACGCGCGACGCAGTCGCGCCTGTTCCGCTCTTTCGGGGCGCGCGGCAACGTGGCCTGCATCTGCTCCAACCTAGCCCTGGGCTCACCGCTCTTCGGGGCTCACTCTGAAGTGGGTGATCGTGTCCTGCCCGCGCAATGCTGACGCCTCAGGGGCGCAGCCGCCGCCGGCACTGTCGGAGGTGGTCTCCAGCTTGCCGTATCTGAAGGCGTTCTCTGCAACCACCTGCTGCGAGTGCAGCTCGAGAGTCGCGAGGCACTTCGCCGCCTGGAGTGGAGGACCTCCCACTTGACCAGGATCAGCAAGGAATAACTTCGCGGCGGTCGCCACGCAGGTCCACCGTCCGAACCCCCCCAGGAGAGCGGGCGCTGCCCCGTCTACCCGACCCAAGGCCCCTTTGCCTTCCGTGGTGAGGTAAGGGATCTTCCCGTCCAAGGTGAGATCCTTCTCTGGCCTCCTTCTGCTGGGCCGTCTGTTCGGCGTAGCTCTCCATTCGTCTCATCGCCCAAGTGGGCATCTCCGTCAGTCGTTGGTGCTCAACTTGTGGAGGGCGCGGCGCTGGATAGCCCCAAGGGGGGGGGGGTGCCCTCCCGCTCCCCCCCCTTTCCCCGATCCGTCGTCGGGGACCCCCCCCCCCCCCCCCTTTCCCGGTCCGTCGTCGGGGACCCCCCCCCCCCCCCTCCCCACCTTTCCTGGTCCGTCGTCGGGGACCAACCCCCCCTTTCAAAATGGGGGGGGGTCCGAACCCCCCCCCCTCCCACCCTTTGGCCGTCAAATTCCCCCCCCCCCTCCCTCCTTTCCTTTCGCCACGGCCCCCCCCCCCCCCCGACCCCTCACACCCCTTAATACTACCACCCCGACCACCCGTAACCCTAACCCCAAACCCTAACCCTAGCCCCAAACAGTACTGAGAAAGAGAGAGAAGAGGAGAGGAGGAGGGGAGGAGGAGGAGGAGGAGGAGGATGGAGGAGGAGGAGGCAGGAGGAGTCGGAGGGAGGATGAGGAGGAGGATAGGAGTGACGGGTAGGATGAGAGTCTATCAGGAGGACCACGAAAAATACGGCATTACTTCGACTCGCCCGGCCCCGCGGCGGCGATTTTTCGAGCTGCGCTGGCCCCCGTGGCGGCGCCGCCCTCCGTGGCGCGCTCTCGGCGCGCCGGGCCCGTGGCGGCGCCGCCCTCCGTGGCGCGCTCTCGGCGCGCCGGGGAAAGGGGGGGGGCCCAGCGCAGGTCCGAGGCATCCGCGCGGAGCTCCGGAAGTTTGTGCTCCTGTGAGGTGTTCTTCGCGGCTCAAATGGGGCAGGAGAGGAGCGGGGGTGGGGGATAGACGGGATCACCGGCCTCACAATTTGATCAAGTTAAGGTATCTCGGCAAGACCCGCAAGAACCTGTAAGAATTCATCTCGAGAGCCGTACGCTTCATCACCTCCCACGCCTTCTACATGCAAGGTATGGAGGAAAAAGGGCAATGGAGAAGAGCAGGAGGAGATGATTAAAAGGAGGCAATTGCCGAGCAGACTGCAAATCCCACCGATAGGCAAGTGGTACAAACTGACAGAAGCTGGCCCGTGTGGCGCTTTGAGTGCCGTTTCTGTCGAGGGGCACTGGGAGTTCCTTCAGGCCAACTGACCTTTCCATTCTTGAACGGGGCCTCCCAGCGCTGAGTTTCACCTGAGGCTTCTTTGCTCGCTGGGGTGGGTTGTCCTCTACCCCCCCCGATCAAGCCCACCCCCAGCGTTCCGCCAGTGGGTGTCTTTGACCCCAGGAAACCACACTTCCAGCAGAAACCTTGGCCATAAATAATGGCTACATTATTCGGGGGCGCGCAGACATGGACTAGCGATCCATAGATTTGGCGCGCGGTCGCCAAATCCATGGATCGGGGAAGGTGCCCTCCCCAAAATGCGGCCGGTGCTGCCTCGTTCGGCAGCGGAAATCCGAGATTTCCCATGGAAACGGGACCCGTCGCTAATCCACGGCCCCCTTAATCCATGTTTGCGATCGCCTGAAAATAATGGCTGCATTATGTAAGGCGTGGACCCCTTCCGCCTGGATCTTCAACCGAGGGCAATATCACGGACTCTCCCTGAGACTCCAATCGATGGTAGACTGGGACCCTGGACATTTGCCTTGGCGAAGCTAGCCCAGAATCGAAAACTTCCCTGGGCCACTGTTGTTGTGGCTATACACCCAGGCCACTCCTGCCCTGGTCAACTGATGCCCCGACGTTTCCTCGAGCTTCCATCTTTCACGCCAGACAGTGCCCCGCGAGCGGTCAGAGCGTCCAAGATCGTTCGCGATAGCTCCAAGAGGGCCTCAGATAGCCCAAGACTGCCTCCAAGATGGCACCAATATGTAAGATATTTCGAAATGGTTGACCATGACCTCCAACATGCCTGCAAGAGGCCCTAAGACTACTCAAAGATGGCTCCAAGTGGCCACAGAACGTTGATGGGCCGATTTTCCCTCACCACTACCATAGGCAGGAGAGGGAGGAGGAGGAGGAGTAGGAGGAGGAGGAAGAGGAGGAGGAGGAAGAGGAGGAGAAGGCGGATGAGGAGGAGGACCTTCCCATCCTCCCTTCTCCTCTGTCCTACCTTATGGCAGCGGTGGTGGAAAATGTGCCCAGCAAACGTCCTTAGGGCGACTCCCAGGAGGTTCAAAACCACTCCGCAACTCTGCCCCTGATCCCGGTGAGGTCCGCCGGGCCCCCCCGAGATCGGTGGCACATCATTGCCCCCCCCTTCGTTGCCCCCCATCGTTGCCACCCCTCGGTGGTCCCCCCCCGATCGTACCTGTGCGAATCTCACCGCAAGACGCGATGATGACCCTCCCTCTCCCCGCCACTCTGCGGCGAAACTGTGTCGCTTCTCGACCCTGGGAGTGATGTCCTGCCTCCGGACCCCTCAGTGCAGGATCCCTCCAAGATCCGGGTAGGGTTCCAACAAGGAGCAAAACCCCGAATCTGATTCCAATGAGAGCCCAAGATGGCTGCAACATGAAACCAGTCAGATCACAATCGCATCCCATCGGTTTCTGATAGGGCTCGAACACGATCCCAGAAGGATCGGATCCCAGTCGTTGTCGTGGTGCTAACGATCTCGCTCGGCGGTTCCCCACCGGGCGCCCCCCCCCACCCGGACGTATTTGATTAGTTCCCCCCTCGAGAACGAGTATTTTGAGTGCTACGGATAACAGGTGAATCGATAATCGCGTCTTGTGATTATGTAGGGACTTCTGCCGCATGGGTGCCATGCCATATTTGTTGGCTTCTCGTCCGCCAACTGCCGCTGACTCAGCGGCTGCAAAGCGCCTCTGAGGCATCAAGATGGCCTCAACCTCGCCCAAGAGGGCCACAAGAGGGGTTCATGAAAGATCCAAGACGGATCCAGGGGAGAGCTCCTACATTACATGGCTCAACATCACAAGAGGCCTCCAAGAGGCTCCAAGAGGACTCCATCACTGCATCCTCTGATAGTTCCCTTCTGTCGGCAGCTCGCCTGAGCATCGTTTGTGGATGTCCTGGTGGGGATACTTCTTTTTTTGTCGCGGCCGCAAGCGAAAGCGCAGGCGGCATCCGAAGGTCGGGCGGGCTACGCGCGAGCCTAATTATACAGCGACAAGCAAGCAAAGGCGCAGTCCTGGTGGGGATACGCGAAGCGTCAAGAGTTGCTCGAACGCAGATCACCCCCGCCTCGTTCCCCACCCCATCTCACCCACCCAGTCCAGCAACCTCCCCCCCCCTTCCGAGTCCATCCCTCCACCCCGCCCCCCGTTGCCCCCTCTGCCTCCCAGCCGTCCCTTCCCTCGCCCTTCCCCTCTGCCCTTCCCCTGGCCCGGGAGCCTTCGGTGCAAGTCTGCCAGCGCATGCGCGGACACGGCCAGCAGGGGGACCCTCTTGATGGCCCTCGCGTTGCCACCCTTCTTCTCGTCTCCTCATCCTCCCCTCTCTCCCCTCCGTCATTGTCGCCGCCTCCTCCTGCTTTTCTTCCTCGCCCTCCTCACTGGGAGACTCCTGCGTACATGGGCGAACGATCGGATGGAAAAGGCCCTCCTCGTGGTTGTGCTCCTTCTTCCCTGCTCCTCCCCCTCCTCCTCCTCCCCCTCCTCCTCCTCCTCCTCCGTAGCCATGTTGGCTCAAGGGTTCCAAGGGGAGGGGTCCTGGATCCTCATCCTCATCACTCGAGGCGCGCGCCATCGGGAGGACATGGGAGGACCGACTGATGGGCGCTGGATCGGCGCGCCGGCCACGGCGGCGGAGCGACCCTACGGCGAAGTGCCCTCACGGCGAGAGCGGTCGAGGCCCGCGAGGTGCCCGCGCTGGCCGAGGGCGTCAGCGACGAGGGGCACGAGAGCACGGACGCGTGCGAGGCCGTGGTGCAGCTGGCCCTGCAGTCATCATGAGCGGCGAACATATCCATATCCACACCCTCGCGGTCTGGATTCCAGGGCGCGATCCCGTGGATACGCGGTCGCATGGATACGTTCCGCGCGGAGCATCCGGCGAACAGCTTCCCGTATCCATGGGATCGCGGCCCAGGGGCCCAGCCCGCAAGGCCGTGGACATGGATATGTTTCCCTCCCACGAAGTCAGCGACGCTGCCACAGGGAGCGCACAGCCAAGGAGCAGACGAGGGCCCTGCCGGGCACGGCGAGCGCCTCGGCCACGAAGGGGCTCTCTCCTGAGCCCGAGGCGGTGCTCGTGTCGACGTCTTGGCTGCACGGCGAAGTGGCCCTACGGCCTGCGGCGGAGGGACCTTACGGCGAGGGTGATGGCGGTGCGCGCGTAGGGGGAGGGGGAGGGGGGGCCCTCTTAGAAGGAGGCTGCTTCTTAGAAGGCACGGGCCTTGCTCACATCTGCCGAGAAGGCCCGCGCCTTCCAAGAGGCAGGGGTGCTTCTACGAAGCCTTCCCCCCCTCCCCCTTTATACTCCCCTCTGCGCGCGGCTGAGTGACGCAGGTGGCCCTACAGTCGGACCTAGGCCAGAAGAGCATTCCCAAAGAACATGAGACCCTCCGTCGGCCAAGCATACACACACACACACACACACTGAACATCCAAGGGTACCCTCCCCAGGATGCACGAGCACGCCCAACACCACACGAAGACTCCCCGAGCCGACCTCGACCTGACACCTCGGTCCGACTCCACGGCGAGGTGACCCCACAGCGAAGCGCCCTTACGGCGACGGCGACCCCCAGCTGGAGCCCGCGGAGGCCTGCGAGGGGAGCGGCCGCTCCCACGGCTCCCGGGGTGTGGCGGCGCGGAGACCTGCGGCACAGGCAGGCATGCAATCGTAGGCGTGATTCGGCGAAGCGAGAGGAGGAGGAGGAGGCGGAGGAGGAGGAGGAGGCGGAGGAGAAAGAGGAGGAGGAGGAGGAGGAGGAGGAGGAGGAGGAGGAGGAGGAGGAGGAGAGGAGGAGGAGGAGGAGGAGGAGTTTTTCATCAGGCGCGGCGCCAAGCGTGCAAGCACAGCTAGGCGGCTCGGGCGCAAGCCCGACCGTGAGATAAAGGGCCCGAACACCTCCCCAAAGGTGAGTGCCAGCAGGCGCAGCCAGGGGCCTACAACCCGTCCGCAGCCTCGTCCACGACTACCAGGTCATCGACCAGGCTGTCGAGGACGAAGTCCGCAAACGGCCGAGGCCTAACCTGGCCGCTGGCCAAGAAGGAGGAGGAGGAGGCGGAGGAGGAGGAGGAGGAGGAGGAGGAGGAGGAGGGTGAGGAGGGGGAGCAGGGGGAGGGGGAGGAGGAGGAGGAGGAGGCGGAGGAGGAAGGAGAGGGAGGAGGGAGGAGGAGGGGGAGGAGGGGGAGGAGGGGAGGGGGGAGGAAAGAGGAGGAGGAGGAGGAAGAGGAGGAGGAGAGGAAGGGGAGGAGGAGGAGGGGGATGAGGAGGAGGAGGAGGAGGAGGAGGAGGAAGGAGGAGGAGGAAGAAGAGGGGGAGGAGGGGGAGGAGGGGGAGGAGGAGGAGGAGGAGGAGGAGGAGGAGGAGGAGGAGCAGCAGGAGGAGGATGATGAAAGTATGGAAGTGGTGGACAAGGGATGGCGCGCAAGCGCCTAGATGAGGCTTGCTTCTTGGCCCTCGGCTTCGAAAAAAGAGCTACCCTCTCCTGGTCGAGATCGGGTCGCTTGTGGGTCGCGGGCGGGTCACAGAACGACGACGACGACGACAACATAAGAACAGTTACAATGGCAGTGAAAGCTACGGAGCTTCAAATCAGGCGCGCGCTCACGGACAGTGCAAAACTGTCCGACTATGTACTGCGGTAAGCTTTAAATTCTACGACACGCGCATACAGAAACGCCTAACTGTAACAAACCAACGCATGGACACGCGCATGCAAACATCGATGCAACATTTGTATATGTACACATATATATGTATGGTGCACTCGCCGATGTCTCTTTGGCGTTTCTCTGGCTCGTTGCATATTGTGACACTTTTAGTTGTGTTCATATCCCTATGTGTTCGGATTGGCTTTTATTTGCGCGAGATATGAAAAATCAGACTCCAATGTATGGATAGCGCAATTTGCACCCCGGATCCGTTTTCGATTGTCCCTGGGCCCGAAAACGGCTTCCAAAGGCAGAAGAAACAAAGAAACCTTCCCGAACCCAGAACCTCGAACCTGCCCCGCCTTCTTCCTGGCCTGAACGAATCTGGGCCACCTCAGACGCCCAGCTGGCTCCAAGGTATCCGTACGTAGTCCTCCTCCTCCTCCTCCTCCTCCTCCTCCTCCTCCTCTTCTTCACGTTGGTCGGACATGAAGCACGGTGCTTGTTGCGTCCTTGCTCCTCCTCCTTTTTGTTGTTCCTCCTCCTCTTTTTGTTTGACGTTGGTCGGACATGAAGAACGGTGCTTGCTGCGTCCTTCCTCCTCCTCCTCCTCCTCCTCCTCCTCCTCCTCGTTTCTTTTGGCGTTGGTCGGACATGAAGATCGGTGATTGTCGCGTCCTTCCTCCTCCTCCTCATCATCCTGTTTTTGACGTTGGTGGGACATGAAGAACGGTGCTTGCTGCGTCCTTCCTCCTCCTCCTTTTACGGACGTTGGCTGGACATGAAGATCGGTGCTTACTGCGTCCTTCCTCCTCCTCCTCCTCCTCCTCCTCCTCCTCCTCCTCCTCCTCCTCCTCCTCCTCCTCCTCCTCCTCATCATCATCATCATCATCATCATCATCATCATCATCATCATCATCATCATCATCTCATCATCATCATCATCATCCTCTTTTTTGACGTTTGCCGGACATAAGTTGGCCGGACATGAAGATCGGTGCTTGCTGCGTCATTCCTCCTCCTCCTCCTCCTCCTCCTCCTCCTCCTAATCATCCTCTTTTTTGACGTTGGTCGGACATGAAGAACGGTGCTTGCTCCTCTTCTCCTCCTCCTTTTTTTCCCGAGGTTGGTTGACATGAAGATCGGTGCTTGCTGCGTCCTTCCTCCTCCCCTCCTCCTCCTCCTCCTCCTCCTCCTCCTCCTCCTCCACTCCTCCTCCTCCTCCTTTTTTTTCCCGAGGTTGGTCGGACATGAAGATCGGTGCTTGCTGCGTCCTTCCTCCTCCTCCTCCTCCTCCTCCTCCTCCTCCTCCTCCTCCTCGTTCTCCACCGCCGCCCCGCGGTCGACAGCACCGGACCCGGCCGCGGGCCTCGAGTCCACCACCAAGGTGGGCTTCTTGTTCTCGCTGCGCATCGGGGAGGGGCGGGCGGCCGCCTGGCGGGCGCGCCACGCCCCGACTCCTCCTCCTCCTCCTCCCCGGGGGGGCCCCTCCCGTAGGGGAGGGGTCGGGACCCCAGGGTCCTCCTGGCGCAGGCGGGGAGCGCCGGGCCCGAGGGGCGAAAAGCCCCCGCGCCCGGGACGGCCCCCAAAGCGGGGTCTCCTTCCCGGGGGGCCCCCGGCCACGCAGCCTCCCCACGGGAGCCTGGCTACCCAGCCAGGTGTCCCCCGTGGGAGTCGTGGCTGGGGGGTCCGTCCTTCCCCGTCGTGTCGTCGCCGTCGCTGTCGTCGTCTGTCGTGTCGTTGCGGGCCCCTGGGGTGGGTGGTGTGGGTTTGGTTTGGACTGGCCCCCCCCGTTCTGTCGGCTGCCGGGTGTTTGCGGCTGGGCCGTTTCCGGCCGACAGAACGTGGGGGGGGAGCTGGCCAACCATCCCCATGCTGCCCGCTTGCGGGGGGCCCGCTGGCGCCGTGCGCCGCCCGCGCCGTGAGCGCCCCGCGGCCGGCCGCCCGCGCGCGGGCGCCCGACCGCGGCGGCGCGCGACCGCGCTTTGGTGCGTTGCACCTCCCTCGCCCGCGGGCGAGTCGCCAATCCAATCCAATCCAATCCAATCCTCCTCCTCCTCCTCCTCCTCCTCCTCTCCCTCCATGGGCCATACGGTAGGTTCGAATGGTGTCGATCGGCGGCGACCCCGCCGCCAGCGTTCAGCGTTGAACGCCGCCGGCGTTCAGCGTTGAATCGGTCGATGTCGAACGATTCTGACGTTTCGGGAACGTTTCGTTTTGTTTCTTCTTGTTTTTTTGGCTGCCTGCCCGCCGCTCATCGCCGAATTCTTCGGCGTCTGAGCGTCCCTCCTTCCTCTCGGCCTCCCCCCTCCCTCCCTGCACGCCGGCCAATTCGATAGTTAGTGCCCCTCCCTGGCTGTTACGCTGGTGCGGATTTCGCCGCCTCGCCGCCGACGCAAAAAGTTTGTTGGTACCTCGCCCTGCGAATCCAGTCGCGCTGCCTCTTGAATCGTGGCACGAGGCCGGCAGGAGCAGAAAGGCGGATAAGGAGAAGGCGGAACCACCGTGCTGTTGTGGCTTTCCGGTTCAAGATCGCGTGGGAAATTTCGATGGCAACGCACGAGAGCCTCCTGTGCCATCTTGCTGGCTCTTGCGAGTGGACGCTCGCGGATGCTAGTCGACGCTGATCGGCGCTAGTCGAGGCTAAATCGACGCTAACTCGACGCTGATCGACGCTACTTTGGCGGCGTTTTCCATCGATTCACAGACGCTAGCGCACGCTAATGCACCCTAGCTGAATTACGAAACCACACAAGCCTCCCATGAATTACTACCGAAGTATCCGCCGCACTTTGAATCATTTTCCAACTCGAGGTCGTGCCAGACATGCACCCCATAACATGCGAACAAGCAGGGCGGACATGACATGTGTCTGCGGTGGACGAACTTCCCTTTAATAAACCACCCTTTAGTGAAAACGGCCCAGGACCGAAACCGACGGACCTGGAACCGCAAAAATAACGGCAGTGACGCCCTCTCGCGAACCGAAAACGGCCAATTCACTAATCGACGTGTCAGCTCAGAAGGTCTATCAAACTCCGAATGTCCGCAGCGGGAAACATGGGGCAACTCTCTCCGGAACCAGCGACGGCAGGGTAGGGCGGACGTCGACACCAAAGAAGCATGACCGGTGGGGCAACACAAATCCGCCCTGGTGACGCGGTTTCCCGGTCCGGCGGATGCGGCGTCGGGAGAGGGGGAAGAGAAGGAGGGCCGCTGGGCCAGGGGGAGGGGGGGCACCGCAAGGGTGGCGGGGGAGGGGGGCCGGGACGGGGGTGACGAGGACGGTGATTTTTTTGTTTTTTGGGGAAGGTGGATCTCTCAAGCTCTCCGCCGCCTCCCGGGGCTTTGCTGTGTTCCTGCCCGATACCAGTTGTCACGTGTGCGGAGCTACACTGCCAACGCCGCGCTTTCCTGTGGCTTTGCTGCGCTCCTGCTCGCAACGCGCACCGCCTGAGGCGGCGGAGAGCTCGAGAGATCCACCTACCAAAAGTGGGTGACGAGGACGACGAGAAGAAGAAGCGGGGGTCGTGCGGATCCTGCGCGCGCCCGGGCCTGTCGGTTGGTCGGTCCTTCGACCAGAGAGGCTTAGGAAGCCGGCCGGAGCCGCAGGCCCCCCCCCCCCGGCCCCCCACTCCTCCGCCTCCTCCTCCTTCGAGTGAAGCCGCGATCGAAGCGCATCCAGTGGTGTGGCGCCTTTTTTTGGTTGGTAGGTGGATCTCTCAAGCTCTCCGCCGCCTCCGGCGGTGTGCGTTGCGCGGCTTTGCTGTGCTCCTGCTCGCAGCGCACGCCGCCAGAGGCGGCGGAGAGCTTGAGGGATCCACCCAGCAAAAGTGGGTGGCGCCTGTTTTTGCGTATCGCCTCACGCCTTTCTTCTTGTTCTCTTTTCCTGTGCACGACCCCCTCCAAAAACGGGCGCGCCCCAAGCCGCTCTGGAACGGAACGGGGGCGGGGATGGAAGTCCAGATCTCCAACGACATGATGATTTCAGCCGGCGGGTTTGGCCATCAAGGGCCGTTATCGGGCCTCCCGGGAGGTAAAGAACGAGCCGGGACGTGAGATGAATTACCCCCTGGGGACGTGGTCGGGACTTCTGGGGCCGCGGATCGACAAGTGTCAGGGCAGCGGACGTCAGAGGGACGCGGGCGAGGAGGGGAGAAAGGGAGGGGTGGGGATGGGAACGGAGGAGGGCGCGGGGGGGGGGAAGAGGAAAACCAGGAGCGGGAGGGAAGGAGAGGAAGGAGAGGAGGGGGAGCAGGAGGAGCGGGAGGGGGCCCAAGAAGTGGCGTGTCTAACATTTTTGCGGGCCGCGCTACAAGAATGCTATGTTCGACTTCTTCGAACCTGGCCATTGCAAGCAGACGTGTTCTCCACGTGGTCTCGGCAGACGTGCTCAACGCAGTTTCCTAACGTATCCCCAGCCACATTCAGTCCTACAGGCGAGCTTGTTCAACGCATCACAACTGGCAGAACGCATTCACAGACAAAATGTTACACCATTGCCTGGTGTTGTGCTCCCAATGGGCACCGCATCTTCTGGACATACCCCCAAGCAGAGCAAGGTGTCATCAACGCAGATTTACCCGTTACGAAAGTTATTCATCTTGAGCACTGACGTCAAGGGCGTCTCCGAGCGGGGCCCCCTTCCCCCCGTAGACTCCTAGCACGGCAACCTTCGGCCTGGTTGGGCGAGAGAGCTGAGAGCTTTCCGGGAGCCTCCCTGGTGTACAATTGATAATATATAACTAATTCGGGATCAAATCTCTCCCCCATACACTCACGAGGGGGAAGTCACTCCCAGCCACTTCCATGCGATTCTGAACACCTCCCCGTGCGAAATCACAAAGATAAGTCACTCCCACACTACTTCTCACCGCAGCGCCCAGCCATACCACATTTAGCCAAGATGGATACAATCTCGCAACGTAAGGAAACCTCCGAAAAGGAATCCAGGATCTGGAAGCCAGTGGAACTCCCATCGGGATTGGCCATGGATATCACCGCCGCCCTCATCAGATAAGGGGCCCTCCAGGGTCTGAAGCCTCCTGGGCACATCCCTCGACGCACGCCCCCACCGCATCAGCCATGAGAGGGCAGCCGCACCGCATCAGCACCTGCTCCGATACTCCGAGCACGCAGCGGCACACCTGGCCCCCCCAAAAAAGAAGAGAGCGCCCCAATACCGCTCTCCACGAGCACACTCGTGCTCGGCTGCAGACGCTGCAGAGGCGCCATCCGCACAGCACCGGCGCGCACGGCTGGGAGCCCACCAGGACTGTCGCACCGGCAGAGGTGCGCAGGCACGAGCCTGCAGGGCGACTGCACAGCAGTCGGCATGCTCAGGCGGATACCCACCAGGACCGCCTCGAGCAACAAGCCAGCGAATTCGGTGCCGAACAGAGGCGATCCCCCTGTCAAATCACAGGGGTGGTGATGAAGGGCCCAGAGGGCCATCAGACGGCCCAAGATGCTCTCAAAACAGCTCAAGACGGTCTCAAGAGGACCTGCAAGAAGCCCCAAGAAGCCTCCAAGAGGCACCCAAGAAGCCCCCCAGAGCCCCAATAAACCACCAAGAGGCCCGCGGAATTGCATACACGAGTGGCGCGATGTTGCTATGCTCATCGGAGTTTGAACTTGGCGTTGCCTTGCGCGTACGACATTCGCACGCTCGTCCCGGCGCTGAGACGGGGGGGGCGCCTGCGCCCCTGGTGGCGCCCCAGGGCGGGCAAAACGACACGGCAGAACAGTGCGGCAGACGAGTGGGCCAAACCACCAAACGCCCAGTCTTACGTGCTCCGGACGTTCACCCCGCGGAGCGAGGGGAATCATAGGGGCAGCGATGAAGAGCCTGGGGCATCCGATACTACGATCATGAGGACGGTCAAGACAATGAAGATGGGGTATAGATTGGCGTGCACGTCAACCCCGTCATTCTGAAGGGTACAGCAGGACCAGACAATCGCATCATGAAGATGAGAACAGCTTCGAGTACCCAAAAATAGCAAGTCCGTCATATCAAGAGCATGGATAGCCTACATCGTTGGCCCAGTGAAGGAATCGTCCGGTAACCAGGGTAAGCACAGCGAGTTATACAGCTTGACTCAAGTCAGACAGGCTCTTGAGCCCAACACTGTAAGGATGTGGAGGAAGGGGGAGGAGCAGCAGGAGGGCCAGGAAGACGAACCCATGAGGCCTTAGCACGGGAACGAAGAGAGAGGAGGGGGTCAAGGGCGGCAGCCGCAGGCAGAGCAAGACGAGAAGAGGAGGAGCACAAGGATGCGGAGGGGGGGGGCGCAGAACAAGAGGAGAGGGAGGAGTAGAAGGCGTGGGCGGGGTGGGGGGATGCGTAGAGGGAGGACGGGGCTGGAACTTTCGCATCCCGCCTCCGCCGCCGAGTCTCTCTTCTCGCGCTCCCAGGTCCAGATATTGAGCTGCGAGCCGATGGGGAGGCCTTGGGGGCTGCCAAACCCCTCCCCCCCTCGCTAGTATCCCCTCCTTTACCTTCTCCTCCTCCTCCTCCTCTTCCTCCTCACCATCACCACCACCATCCTACTCCATCTCCTCCTCATCCTCATCACCATCATCGTTACAGTTATCATCATCACTTACATCAACATCAACATCATCATGAAGATCAACATCACTATCACCATTACCACCATCACCGTAACCATTACCATCACCATAATCAGGATCATCAGCAGCATCGCCATCATAATCATCATGATCATCATCATATCCCGTCACGCACTTTTGGGACACATTTTCCAGGACAAACAGCGACAACACAAACCAATCTTCAAAGGCAATCACCCCTTCAGAATAACATCGACATCTCGGCTAAACCGGTAACCTTCCGCCTACGACATGTTGACAACCGCCGAAACTCGATAGATGAACCGCGCGGTATATGTTGACATAATGTTCAAAACAATGAACCAACCGAAAGGTTTTAATCGACACAACGTAAACGAAACAACGCTTTCTTGTTTGAAAAACACAAACCTGTATTTGCGATGCGAGGGCAATGCAGTCACACAGAAATTCAAGATATGTGACATGGCAAGTAAGAGTTCGCGCTCATATCCACTCTGATTTAGTTTCAACGCGAGCGCATATATGATTTCACAGACGCTCCTTTCTAACGTCCTTCTGCGCGTTCTAATGGCCATCGCGCGCATAGGAATTACAATGCATGCCTTCGCTCAATGCGACTCTGGCTCGGAAACTTACAATGGTTTACGCGGTTTCACTCGTCACAAAGGCACGGAAACTCGAAACACACTCCGCAACAGCGAAACTCATATCAAGCAAGTCGTGCAAAACTCCAGAAGGCACCGCGGGCCGCGAGAGAGGCC